CGCGACTCTCACCGACCACTCGCGCGCTCGGCGAATTTCACTTTAAAAACGACGTTTGTGCACGGGGCCTAGGCGAGCTTTGTGCAACGCGCGTGGCTCGCGGAGATAAAAAGGGCCGAAACAACAAATAAACGCAAAGAGAGGGAGAAATCGCGCTCGGGCCGAGTGATCGCTATAAAACATCGCGGCGACGCATCCGCCGCGCAATAAATTATTCCTCGTTAACGAATCGATGTTACTTCCCCCCGGGGGCGATAATTAACGACGTAAAGGCAATTATTATCGGGGGAATGGCGGTTAATTATAAATCATTCCCCGTTTCCAATCTCGCAGATGCCGCCCGCGACCTCGAATCGAAGGATTTATCTCGGAACAATCGCGCGAGATTCGTTAACAGCGTCGGGGCACCGCGGCGATTTCTCGGAAGATCCCGATCGTTTGATCGTATTACCCCCGGTAAAACTAGATCGTCGACGATAAATCTCATCCGCGAGATTAAAGCACGCGTGCACGCGGCCACGTCTCTGACGACGTCTCAGGCGTGCGTTTCAATTCGATTCCTCTTTCGGTTAATGAGTTCTCCTCATTACACGTGAAGGAACGCGCGCGTATGTCGTGATTCTCGATGACGAAGTTATTGCCAGACCAACTCTGTATCTCACGAAAGCATCTATACGTCGTGACAGATTTAGTCAATTAAAACGTGGATCTTATCCACGAGGAAAAAAATGATACTAGTTTACAGCAAAAAATTATTTTAACAAAAATTTTCTTCCTTATAGATGATTATTTTGGACCTTTGAACGATATCGCAAATTTTTCTAACAAGTCAAATTTCCAAAATTGAGATTTTTGCGACAGAGAATTTAAAGATTTTTTTATAAAGAATATTAATGACAGCTTAAAATTCTGATCACGAAGAAGTCACGAATGTATTTTTCATCTTCTATTAAATGTCACTTTTTTTATTTTGACATCTTTCTTTTTATATTCATGTTATAAGGAATTTTAATACAGAGTTTTGATAAAAGCAAGCTTTGCAGATTAAAACTGCCCTTTTCATGTCCATTTCCATCAATATTTATAACTTTGATCTCGGTTTAATTTTCACTCTTTATTTTTCCCCATTCCCCTTAGAAATAAAAATAGTAAGTTAAAGTTAGAAATTAAAATTAATCCACCTTGATTAAAAATGGACACGATGTTATTTACAATTTCTCTTACGCTATAAAAAATATAATCGCATATCCTTACATGTTTCACAGTTCGAGCAAGTTCTAAATGAAATTTCGAAAGTTTCTCGCGATATTTAGATGAATAATCCTCTAATAAGAATAATCCTCTCCATTTTCATTTGCAGGAACGAGTTGGTGGAAAAAGCGCGATTAAAAGAGGAGTACTCACCCGCCGAGTTTCTCACCCGCCTTCCGACGTGTGTATAAATGCAGTTTGCGCAGCTTATAGCATAAGGGACGGAGTCCGTGTAAACATTACATGCGTGTAATACACGGAGAGACCATACAGACATAATTTTACCTTCGTAGGTTTATCCACGAAGGTAAAAGGCAAAGGAACCTGCCGTACGAGCGGTACTGCGGTGGGCGGACGAGACAAAATAGACCGTAGTGCTCGACGTAAAGCGCAGCAAAAAGTACACCTTTAGCTTCATCGAAAAGGAATAAAAGACTGCGCGAGTTCCACGTATATACGGCGAGAAGCCCCACGTACGTGTGCGTCTGGTACTGGAAGCGCAATATCGAGGCACATCGCCGACCGGGTGTACCGTCCGCGAAAAGGAAAAACAACGGGAAAACGTATCGAGACATCGGATAACGGAAACGATGAGCGAGGAGCAAAATGGATAAAACGACGGAAGGAAACGTCCTCGAGAGCGGAATCTAATTTGAGAGACGACATTCGCGAAAATCATTATATTTTGTAACTCCGTCGAACGTGCAAAAAAAAAAATAGAGAAAGAGAGAGGGGGAGGGAGGAAGGAATTGTCTCAATTTGTTAGTTGTTAGTTCGAAAAACAGGACAGTCCACTGTGGAGAATCCGACAGCGAGAAAATGTTTTCGCGATCGGCTCGGATAAATGAAAAGGAATACGACGAGGAGTTACGAAGTGGTCTTACAGTCCGCGTTTACTCCGCGGGAGATGGTCGTTCTCGTAAATTATCGCGCACTTATTATCGCTCTCTCTTTCTCTCCCTCTCTATCGCAATGGCGATCCCGACGAGTTTGTACTCCCACCGAAGTTGGCGTAGAATAAAAAGAAACTACACCGCGCCGCCAGTTGTCTCTCGTTAAACACCCGCGAGAGTCAGCGCGAACTCTCGCCGCGGAGCGAGAGTGAGAGAAAGAGAGCGAGAGAGAAAGTGAGGGAGACGGCTCTAATTAATTGAAGAAATAATTAAAACGTACGTGCCAACGGCAGGCGCGGCCTCGTCAACGAGCTCTTTCTATTCCGCGCGATATCAGCCACCGTTAATTGTGCGACCGCGCGAAGAATTCGCGCGCCGAATTCGCCGAGCGGAATTTATCCCGCCTCGCGGCGTGTAACGTAAAATAACGTTACACTCGAAAGCATAGTAAGCGCATTCGGGCGATAAATCCGCGGGAAAAAAACCGTACTCAACGGAATTGTCTATCAGTTATCTCGATTCTTTCCTCATTTAACCGGATGAAAAATCGATTTCGAAAAAAACGTTCGGAACTCAGCTTTTACGTTTTCATTTCTATCGACACAAAGTAACTTTTTATCTTGGCTCAATTTATTTTTTACCTTTCTTTTCGGTGTAAGAATTAGAAAAGGATAAAGAGCAAATTGAGCCGAGACAGGAAATTAATAGAATATTGGTAGAAATGGACATTAAACATTTTTTATAATACGGCATTTCCTCTCGTCGTGATGACCATCGTAAAAATACACAAGTTTCGCGCGTTTCGTCGGTCATTACCGCGATCGATAGTCCACCGGGGGGACTTCCCCCCCCCCTCCCGCAAAAGTGGCACTATTCCAAATGAGACGTTTTTATTCGTTCCTCGCGAATCCCTCCCAGAAATAGTCGTCGCTCACCTGTCGATGTAGCCGTCGCCGTCGCCGTCGCATGCCTGGAACAGCTTCCGGACGCGTTCCTCGTCGCAAATGGAGCCGGTCTCGCTTTCGACATCCGCGGTCTGCGACATCTTCTCACTGGGGCTCGCGCGCGGCCGTCTCGCAACAACGAACGGTCATCGGTATCCTCGCCGGTCGCCTCGCGTCCTCGCTGTTTGCCACGCGACGCCTCATTTGCCCGACTTCCCGCGAGCCGAATGTCACCGGTTCACGGCGCGTCACGCGCCCGCTCGAAGATCGGGGCTCCTCCTCTCCCGCGCGTCTATCCCGCGACGCGTGACGTCGCGTGATGTCGCGTGCACGAGAACCCCCGGGACATCGTCGCTGTGCAATTGAGAGTTTATCACTCGTCGGGTGTGCGGATTTTCATGGAAATTTTCTGAAAAGAAGAGAGGAATTAGTTTATAGCACAATAAAAAAATGGGAGCAGAAAATTTCTTTCGATCAATGACCGAACATATTTTAATAAAGGTGTGAATTAAACGTAAAAAAATAAGAAATTCGATCGAAAGAAATTTTCTGTTAATTAATCGTATGTTAAAATACGTTTTCTTTTTCGTATGTCGAACTTTAACTTTCTTTCCCATTTCTTATTTTTAATTTCTTGGTTTAATTTTATGTTTAATTTCTTTGTCTTTTTATTGTGTTCGAGTCTTTAGGCTAACATGAAACGTAGAGAAAAAAAGCAGTTGGGGACTAAACATAATGAAAGGAACGGGAAATTAAAAGAATTAAAAGTGAAAAATTTTTTTCTACTAATAACAGAACACCTTCATACATCTTGATTATGTATTAAAGCATAATTTCTTATCAAATTATCTCGTCAAAATTAAATTTTCTAATTACATTCCTAACTCCTTTTTTAAATTTTCTATTTTTTTATTTCTTTCATTGTATCCGGATCTTTATGATGCGCCTATCGCGTATTACCCAACGAAGACGATATTAATAAATATTAATAAATAAGCCTATTTAAATCTTCCAGGCTCTTTCAAATAAATCTTACAAATAAAAAAAAATCTATTCTACAAATTAGCAGCTGGGAACTGGGACAATCGCTGGGACTTTTTCACGGCTGATCAAATCAGCGGTTATCGCGCGTAGGATTATCGAACAGGGATCAATAGCGATAACTTGTACTCACCTCGCTGTCGTAACCCCGACTGACCCTATTTCCCGATACGAGTGGGTGGACGGATTCGCGCACCGGTCGCCGGTACCGGACATTCGATTGAGCAGATCGGCGCGCGTCGACAGATCCGTCGGACGCGAGATGCGTTCGGGGAAGATTCGGGATGCTGCGAAACGGACGGGGAGGAACGGCGGATCGGCGCTGTCGCGGCACGTTGCCGCGTCACGCGTTTCGACCTCGTGTCATCGGCGCGTCTCGTCTCCAGGAGGATTTCGGGAGGGCGATTCTCCCCTTCCTCCTTTCGTTCGCGGACGAATTCCTTTCGTCGACACGCCGTAGGCGCCGCCGCCGCCGCCGATCTATTTTTGGACGCGCGCGGCGGATGCCACCCGCGGTCTCGCGATCGCCGATATAAACAGATTTCCGTCACGGTGCCACGCCGTTTCTCTCGTTCGGAGCATTACCCCGACGACGAGCGGTAAACCGGCGAGCGACGATGGACGATTTTTCGCGGAACGCGGCTCCCTCGATTCGAGGCCGGCGCGTTTGCTTCCTCGCGCACTGAAGACTCGCCGTCTCTGGCGTCCACCATCCGTCGCGGTGTCACCGAGTCACTAACCCTAACCTCAAAACCGGACTCGCGACTCGACCTATCCGCGACCGCGACTGATAAAAACTATCGATTGAACCCGCCGCGGTCAAAAAAAACTTGGCCGGCCGATTGCAGCGACATCTTCCGCGATGCGATTACGAATCGTTGATGTAGATATCATACTCGGTCGGTCTATGATTGATTGCTATATCCGTGTTGTACTATAAGCTTGTAACAATAATTATGAAAATTTCCTGTCAAAAAAAGTAAGAAAAGCATCAATGTAAAAGAAATGTTGTATATGGTTAATATATAGTTTTAATATATATTGAAAATATTTTTTTTCTGGAATTTCTTAATAATGACAATTATTTATACATATCATGAATCATCGTCTATTTAAAATTTTATCTATACAGTAGCTTAAAAATTATTTTTTGAAGCAATTATATTTATTTCTACTAATATAGATATAGATATAGATATAGATATAGATTAACTTTAATCCCATGGATCAATTTTAATGATTTATTTTTACTTTTAATCTCTTTTTAATTCTAAGAAATAAAAAAAGATATGGAGTAAATTAAACGGGATTAAAATTAATAATTATTAATAAAAATAGTTATTAAGAGGGAAATATGCTAGAGAAACGCAACTAATAATTTTTAAAGAAAATTGTGCAAGTAGCAGAAACATATTATATAATTTCTGCTATATATTTAATATGTACAAATTATCAGGGTTTAATTAATTTTTTTAATTAAGTAAAAGATAAACCGGTCTATAAAATTAGTTTAATTACGCTAAGCTTTAAATAAAAAAGTAATTTAGTTAAAAATTACATTAAAATTAAATTTAATTTTAAAAAACATTATTTAGATTAGATTTTTGAAGTTAGATTACTTTTAATGATAACAGAATTACAAAATGAGCTAAAAACTTTGAACTTGGAAAAATATAGAAAAATTAATGTTGACATGTTTTAAAAAGTAATTAGTTGAAATTAAAAATTATTAATTTTTTATTTTATTACATAACTTATAATTAATTAATTATTATTCAAATTCTTGCAAATTACATAAGAGAAAACATAAAAAAATTTGCAATAATGAATTGCTATGCGTTTCTTGGAAACTTTAAGACATCTTAGATAATTTTAAAAGAAAAATATTTTCTGATTTGCGTTTATTAAATCGCAATATTAATTAATGGATTCTAGTTTCTCATTTAATGTTGGCAGGAGTTTCTTTAGCTTGGCAACATCGTGACTAAAGCCCCACATGATACATTCTGTGTGCTCCGCGGTGGGTAAACCTCGAAACTTGGCATCTGTTTCGAACCATTGAATGTACTTTTCCTTTATGTGATTCACCAATTCCCGCAAGTGTTTATTCCTCTTCACATCCCACGTAACATCTGATTCCGGAAAACGAGCCGATCTGAGTTTCTTATAATCGCCATCCACCTCTTCGTAAACTCTGTAAAATCAAGTATAGCATAAAATAATATCTTATCAGTAAAATTTAACATTGCAAAATTTTTTATCTCTTCGCGAATCTCTTCAGCAATCAGAGACTCACTTGAGGAAGCCGTTATCTTCGATGCCGTATCGCTCGGCGAGAGGTTTAAAAGCTCGCACCACATCGATCGTCAGATAATTGAAATTTTCCCCCGATCGACCGTTCACATTATAATCGGTAATCCAGTTCTCAAAGACTTCCATAGCCTCCCGCATGTTCTTGATCTTCTGCTCGTCCTTCGTGCATGATATCACCCTCTCTGCTCGCTTCACCAGCCCGCTGATCGCGTGGAATTGATACGATATGTCTCTGCCCTCCAAGGACTTGATGCTTTGCAAAGCTTTTTCCTTGTCCTTAAAACCTAGCACACTCTCCACCTTTTCGTCCTGTTCGTTCTTCGTAGTTTCCGATGAACGTCTCGCGCATTTTCTCTCCGGTTCGCTATCGCTTTCGCTGCTCGATGGGCTATCGCGAGTTCTCTTAGTTCCCCTTCGTTCTTCCTCGGTAACGTTCATGTCGTCATCACCTTCGCCGAATTTCTCGCGCGCTTGAGCCGCCAGCTTCTTCAGCTTCGAGGGCTCCGGGCTGTACCCGAGCGCGATGCATCGTGTGTGCTCCTTCGTCGGTAATCCTCGAAAATCGCCCGCGTCTGTTTCGTACCATTGAATGTGCTCGTCCTTGATCTTACCGATGATATCCTTCAGACGCTTGTTCCTCTCGATGTCCCATGTAGTACCTCCATTTGGAACTTTAACGTCGCGCAGACTCTTGTAGTCGCCCTTCTCGTTCTTGTACGCTCTAGCAGCGAAAATTGATATCAGTTTACCAAAAAGCGCATCGAGCTTTCGCGAAAGGTTCCTTCTCACCTGAAGAACTCATCATCCCACACGTCGTATTTCTTCGCGAGACTGCGGAAAGCCTGGATCGTTTCGATCGGTAGGTACGCGAGGTTTTCCTTGCCTCTATTATTCACCTTGTAATCCGTCAGCCAATCCTCGAAGATCTTCAAGGCATCGCGCAAATTTGCCAATTTCTCCTCGTCCCGCGTGATCTGCAGCGTTCTTTTCGCACGACTGACAAAGCTCGTGATTACGTGATACTGATAACTGATATCGCGACCGTCCAAGACTTTTAACGTGTCCAATGCTTTCTGCTTGTCCTTGAAACCCATAGCTTTTTCCTCCTGTTCTTCGGCTTTCATCATTATGATCTGGACGACAAAAAATCACCTGAAAATACACTTTAGTTCTTAATTAATGGTGATGTAAGAAAAAATAAAAGCATTATACATTCTTCAGCGATGATATGAATATTAATCGATTTTGGAATAATGCAATTATACGTGTTTACTGCTAATCGCTTCATCGCTTCCGATTGTCACCGCTGGAACTCAATAAAGATGTGGAAATGATGAATTACGCGTAAGCGGTATTTGACATCGCTCAAAGTTAGTTTCGGGAAACTGGCGATGTGCATGGAGCAATCGATTCGGAGCGGCACAGCCAATCATCAGAAGAGGATGCGCCCGGAGGCGGAGAGACAGTCAATCAGAATGCGAAGCGCGTATGTCAGTTTTATCGTTGACGTAGTCCTCGGATTATGGAAGCTACATGGAAGGATCAATACCGACCGCGGGCGATGGTATAATCGTTATATTTGGCAATCGTCTTTGTTTGTGTTGTGTTCTTGGCGCGTTGTACGTTTCTCGATTTTATTATTCAAATTTCCATGCACACATAGAATTTTTCAAACTTAGATTGTTATTCATTCTATACATATATTAAATTATATAATAACAGATATAAAAGTATTAAATTAGAATACATAAAATTTATGTTGAAGTTAATAAAATACTGAAAGAAAAATTAAGATAATCAAAATAAAAAAGACGTACTTACCAATATAATTTTACTACTGCTAATTGCGTTGAGTAATCGCGTTGAGTCGCACAGCACTATCTCAAATTACGCGCTAATCAACTGTGAGATTATCGCTACAAATTTCCAATGTTCCTTGCAAAGTGTCTCCAAGTTTTCGGATCGCAAGTCTGACAGTGACTACGAGCCGACTCACCGGTTATACTTGTCAGCAAACTTCATCTCATATTAAGAAAGGATAGTTGTCGAGATAAACGAGGGAAAGCGAGAAGTCGATATAAACACGCTCGATTCACATGTGTCAGAGCCCAAAATACCACGCGCACTTGCGTCATATGCGCATCGTCGAGGATGTACGGAGATGATCCATTCTATGACTTAATATTTGTCAATTTTTCAGAATTACGAGTTTTCATTTCACAACACACACAAATATAACACAAATATAACACAAATATATAATATATAACTTTCCATGCTATTATTTTTGTTTCTTCTCACTTTTAGTGAAACAGAGCCAAGATAAATTTTGTCTTGAAATTGTATTATTTTAATTTACGCTCGACGTGTTGTCGAGCAATGTATATCGAACTTATAAATAAAAAATATGAAGTCATATTTCATATTTTTGATAATCGTCCTATTGATAAGGAGATTTATTTAATATTTATAAAATAAATTACAACCGCGATAAACTACTAGAATACGCGCACAGTAACGATCGGAGATAACGCATCGGGCGCGAATCAGAGAGTTCGCACTTAAACAAATTTAATAGTTTTATCTCCAGGAAGTCTGATAAGCCAGCGCGGAAAAATAAGTACTATTTACAATACCATGTACGTCCAGACGACTCGGAGTCTCGCTCCGTTTCGAGGATCGTCAAGCATGATCGATAGGAGACCTTCCTTCGAATAATATGCAAACAACAGATTCGATCACATTTATTTAACAGACGCAGCTTCCAACGCCTAAACACGTATACGGTGCTTGCTCCAGTTTCGAGCTCGTCGCGCCGTCCAGTATCGAGGATTGCGAGGACACGGCCGGGGCCGGTAATTGCGATCTCTGCACGCTGTCGTAGGGTATCGATCCGGGTTCCCGGTCTCTGCTGGTACTCTCCGTTTCCTGGGTATACGAATCTCTCGGTAGCGGTTCCTGCGCTTTCGAGTCGAAAGCAGCCTCGTGCGACGACAATCGACTGTAGTTCAGGAAGGTCTCCGTGTAGCTCGGAGGCGGATGATGATGATGGTGATGGTGATTGCTACCGTACTGATGGGGGTAATGGGGGTGATATCTGCTCGATGGCGTTTTGAAGCCCTCATTACCGCCGAGATACTGATGCAGATGATGAAGACTAGAAGGTCCGTACACTGCAAAAAAAATATAACAATTTTTCATAATAAATACAAATTGTCGTGTTGGATGAGTTGTATAAATTTCAATGTACAAAATAAATAATTAATGTCGATAAAATCGAACCTGCGGCAGTATTTGAATACATAGCGAAAACCGCGTCGCTGTACCCCGCGGCGGGATGCTTCATCAAATCTGGAACTTCGTTCCCGCCCGCTCCTTTCCCGGACACCGCATGGCTTCGTACCATACCGCTTGGAACTTCTCCACTAATCCCCGAAGACGCCCCGGTACCGTACGCCATGTTGAAGAGCGCTTCCGGATCGCAGACGAACTTGTATACGTATCGCTCACCGGCAACCTTTTGCATTATGCCTTTCTCATAGTAGTATCTCAACGATCGGCTCAGCTTATCATAATTCATCGCTGGTCTGTTTTTTTGAACGCCCCATCTTCGTGCCACCTGCCACAATAAAAATGTATGATAAATATAAATATATAATAAAAATATTATCAAAAAGTTTATTATATAATATTTCAAAATATCATTTAAATATACAGAGATTATAAAATCCTTATTTTAAACTTTTATATCTAGATATAATAGATAAAATTAATCTAACTTTATAATTAACCTACATATCAATATAAATTTTTAGATAGACGAACCGAATGGCAGATTCCGAATCCATTTGAACTTAGAGTGAAATTTCTTCATTTTCAAAATATAAAATTTCTTTCTATATTCTTACAAATACATTTTATTTTACTTACATAATAAAAATACATAAAATATGGATTTTACTCATCTCGAAAACTACCAATATAAGTTTGACAATTGTTGCATTTAACATAAAACAAAATCTTACAATTATAAACAATAAAAATGATCTAAGTGGACTCCTCAATTACTAGATAAAAATTAGAAAATTTATAATATAATTAAGTGAAATTTTATGCAAACCTCTTCTGGTTCGATTAGCTTGAACTCCATCCCGCGGCCGGTCCACGCTATGCAAGGTGCATTCGCAGGGTCATCAAGCAAGGCTACGAGAAATTGCCACAGCTGCAAGGAACCACGTCGTTGTTGTTGATAACCGACAGCAACATCGCTCCACGCGGATACGCCGGTCGCCGATGATGGCCTTTTGTTGATGTGGTCCGGATTCCAGGTAGAAACGGGCGAGCCCTTCTTCTGGTAACAGCCGTTCTGCCGATCCCAGGACGAGTTCCTGGGATCCAACTGCGGGCCGAGTTCCGTCCAAGTCGGCGTGCCGCTCCTTTTCGCGTAAGCCTCGGAATTCCAGTTCTCCTGTCGCGGCAGAAACGCCTCGGAGGAAACGGAGAAGGTCGATTGCCATTGAGAAGTCGAAGAAGAAGCGCTGGCTGGACGGCTGGACGGCGGTGACGATCCTCTATGATCCCTCGTCACATTTCCATATTGTTGGCGTTGTGGGTAAATTAGAGTGCTCGCTGTAAGAAAATGCAGCATAATCCTAGAATCGCTATTCTCTATAAAAAAAATTTAAGAAATTAAACATTTAGAATTTAAGAATTAAATCAAGGAGGATCGATCCTTCTGTTTAATTCGATAAATAAATAACATAAAAAAAATAATATAATACGCAATATAATCAAGTTCGTGACGAATAAGCGTACACTTCTGCATAAAGATATTTCAAGCTTTGCATATGCAATCACGCATATAAGGTAGAGAGGCGTCAAGACGTAAAGAAACGCGAGAAAAGCATCGGATAATCTGCGAGCGTTTTTTTTTTTTTCGCGAGAAAAGGAGACGGAGGGAAAGAACGAGGAAAGAGAAAAAGAGAGGGAGAGAGCCGAGGAAGAAATTCTCGAGAGGACAAAGAGTTCCGTATTACCGATTGCACTCACGCGCCGGGCCGGTTGAAGCGCTTCTCGTCACACAAATATCGGCAGGAAATTGGTGGATATTCAAAGCCCACCGGGGGCTAGAAACCCGCGCGCGATGGTGCCCCCTGAAATATCGAAAGCCGAGAGCTCGCGCGATATGTATATTAATCGCGCTCCCCCTTCCCCCGCCCTCTCTCTCTCTCTCTCTCTCTCTCTCTTCTTCTCTCTCTTACTCTCGTCGACTGCCGCCGCCGCCGCCGCCCCAACCCTCCCCCATCGACGTCGCGGTACCGAAAGAGCCATTCTCGGATCGTAATCCGGTTACGCTCCAAGTCGCGCACGGGGAATATTGAAAAATTGAGAGGCCGCGATTGAGAGGAGCGCCGATAAACGTTGTTGCAGCGACGTCGCGATGCATCCGACGACGAGGAAGCGACGCCGAAAACACGACGAAGCGACGAAGCCCGGCTCTTTCCGCCGGGCGATACATCGGCAAAAATTCCTCGGGATTTTCCTCGAATCTCCTCGCGAAAAGATTGCGTGAATTTAATTCAGAATTTAATTCTCATTTCGTTTAATGGGGAGAGAAGTAATGAACGCGAAGATATGCTCGAGACTCGGATGTGCTTCCGCTACTAATTCTGTTATCGCGGTATCGAGAATGCGAGTGCGATATCGCGTCTGTAATCGCGCATTTTTACGAAACGCAAACGTTCGGATCATCCCTTTTTATCAATTACCTTTTGAATGTTAACACGTATGTAACGTGAAATGTGTTGACAGAGAAGTTCAATGGAAGGTCAATCGTTTTGCTTCACTCCCATTTCGGCGAACGTAGGACGACGGATCTCGGACGGGGAATCGGAAGGGAGCCGAAAGCTCTGGGACCAATCTGGCACTCTCTCGAAAAGCGGAGAGAGAGAGAGAGAGAGATAGAGCGAGAGAGACAACGCAGGGCGCCAGGGGGGTGGCGAAAGGGAGGTTGACCTCAGCCTGCAAGCCGAGCGCGGGCCAGAGGCTTTGCGGGTGGTTTTAGATTAAAATTAATCGCGAGCTGATGAAACCGGTGGCGATGTACCACCACCGAGGGAGGCCGGAGAAGGGTTGAATTCAGGACTGGTCATAGGGGCGGCGGAACACGACGGCCCGGTACGGTGGCAGCGGCGGCGGGGGGAAGGGGAGGGAGGGAGGGGGTGGGTTCGGGTCTACGGAAAAGAGGATGGCTACCACTCTCGTCCACTCTCAGACGAGGAGAAACGCGTTTTGCCGCCGCCGCTCTCTTCCACCCCTTTCCGTGCTCCGCGCCCTATCTATCTCTTTCTCCCTTGCTTTTTCTCCTCTCTTCTGCCTCGCTGATCCTCGAATTCCGGCATAGTGCTCCGTTAATAATGCAAGCTCTATTTTCCACCCACCTGACGAGCGGCAAAACCTGACGAGCTCGCCTTGTCCTTTCCCGAGCGTAACGGGAAAACGCGCTCGTTTTGCGCCGTCTGCACGCTCTTTTTTTTCTCTACCGACCGAAATATTTACCGCGACACGTGAATCGGAGATGCCGAGCTGAATGCGGAGAAATGGCAGTTTCGTTGAGCGTGGCATTTTCCGCGTACGCGTACACGCAAAAGCGAACGTACCGCGAAACGCTCGCGACTCTGCGGGCAGAATAGACCGTCACGATCCGCGTAATCCACGTAATCCTCTGCTCGTATTAATTAGTGGAACTGTGAAACCAATCGGTATCCATTAAGCGGTTATTACTATTCCGTTCTCGTTGTATCGCTCGGCGAATTGTTTGTCCCCTCTAAACGAGATGATCTCGATTATTTCATACCTCCTCTAAATATTTTTCTACCGATTTCTCCGCCCCGCTCGGATATTCAAGCGAATTTTTCCGGAACGTTTTTTACGCGAATAACACAATAAAGCAGTGCTCGGAATTAATTGCCCTTCTCGGCTCGATTTCGAAGGCGACGCCTACGTCGCCCTCCCTCATTACCGCTCGAGACTTGATGCGGAAACCTGTTAAAATAAAACCTGTAAAAATAAAAATTAATTTAATAAAGAAATTGATTTAATAATAGTTTGGTGGAAATGGTGCATTTTTAATATAAGACGCTTCTGAGGCATAAAGCTACGGCGGCTCGGCCGTCAGGTCTCAAGCGGTAATGAGGGAAAACTGTAGGTGTCGCCTTCGAAATCGAGCCGAAAGGGGCAACTAATTCCGAGCACTGCAATAAAGCATATGGCATGGCAGATTTCGACACCCGATTTGCGTCAGCGTTCTTGGGCTTGAGAGTCTCCGAGATTCCGAAACATCCCCTGGTTTCCGCCCGTAAAATGCGAGACGATTTTTCCGTCTAAAAAATAAATCGAGTGATCGTAAGTAGATTGCGGGATATATATCGATACGGGCGATAGGGAATGTATCCTATTATTAACCTAAACTATGTGTAAATAATTAAAACGGCTTAATGGTAGAGAGAATTACGCGAGGAGAAGCACGAGCTATAATCCCAGGTGACTTGGTAGTAGGCGGGTGGTATCGCGTATACAGTGTCGAGCCATGGATATATAGCGTAACCGAGTTCCTAAAGGATTCGGCCCGCGACTGCATGTGTGCGTGAATAAAGGAAGACTAATCGGTCTGATTACGAAGCATGAGCTTGCAACCCCTCACCGACTCTATCTTTTACGAGCGGAACGACGAGTGGCCCGCGGCGATGGCGGCGGTGGGTGGCGATGCGCGTATTTTTACCTTTCGTTTTTTACGGCCTATTAAATAATGAGCGTCGATAGAAAAATCACGATTATCATCGCCGTACGTCCTCCGTGAAGAACATTTTTTTCAACAAAAAAAAAAATGTGCAAATAAATTTTCGCGCGATCGTACACGCGCGTCAAATATTCATTTCGACTATTAATAATAATTAATAAAGAAAATTCTACGTTTAACCTAACGTTACAAGTTTCGTAATTCTAACATCGAATAACAAAAGGAAATTCTTGAAAAGCTCGGGCTGTAGAGTATGTAGTTGCTAAAGACAATGTTAATTTTACATCAAAAATCTTCTCCGCACGAGTCACGAGAGAGAAAGCTTTCGACTTACATTTTCCCTCGGGGAATCTCTAGTCTCGCGCTCTTTTCTTTCTTTCGGTAGCTTTTGTTGGAATCTACAAGACGCCATAGCTTTCGACTTGAAAGCATCGTTTAATTATTCAATTACGCATGCTCAGTCATGCATGAACGAGTCCAGTGCATTAGTTGCGAATTTCGCAACGATCATAGGAAATGTTAACTCTCGTACTACGAAGGTAGTCGTTGCTTTAATAAACTTTTCGCAGAATAGCACATGCAAAATGCGGTATACAATAAATACAAAACAAATGTAATCGCTTCTACTAATTAATGTACGCAGGCATTTCGCGTGCTCCTCGTTAATTTGCAGATTTTCTGAGTTTCTTCTCATTACATGCACTTTAATGATCGCGAAGAATAAATGCGAGGAAGAATTAACAACGGCACGGATCGATGATTATCGATGTAACCGTGAGGCCCTCAAAAGGCTAATCGGAAGTCGACTCGATTAATGGACAGAGGTACCCTCGTTGTACCCCCTCCGATTATTTATAGACTCCATGGGGTGAAATAGCGCCACGTGGATGCTTTTATACTGAGATTTGTCACGGTGATGGATTTTTGTACAGACATAAAAGTCAGCGAATCGTGTACTCTTCTTCTCGAACAGCGAATAAAGAAATGCATTGAAAGAACACTTTTGCTAAAATATCTGAAAATTTGGCCAGATACAGATCTGAAAATAATTTTGTCAGACTACCAAAATATTTATGCGAAACAAGTTGGTTGGCAAAATATTAAAAATTTTTACAATATTATTATCATTAAGCGTCCTACATGATAATAATTTCGATCCAAAAAAATTATTTTCAGATCTTTATCAAATTTTTGGACACTTCAGCAAAACTATTCTTTTCGTTGTTTCTATCGCCGAAATTCTTACCGTTCTGCGTGTCCTGAGATGTTGCGGATGATATGTTCGTTATAGTAATCGGCTCCACGTAGCTTCGATCCGCCGGTTCCTCCTTCACAGCGACGTCCTTCGTGCTCTTATTAGCCGGTCCGTTTATCTTTCGGTTCCTACGGGTAACACGCAAGATTTCGTTTTACGTTAATTTCGCGAGACTCGTGTGACGCGAGGTGGTTCGCGCGAGATTCCTCCTTTCCATTCACGGAGCAACATAAATTTCATGCAAATTGCAATGTTGCAAGACTGTTGTAAACTGTACTGATATTAGAAAAAAAGGAAGCTCGAGCGGCTTTCTCTCGAACTTACCCGAAGCAACGACCCGAGCTAATCTCGAGAAAATCGTTGCTTTGGCCGTGAGCGACCGATACCGAGGTGGACTGATATTGGGGATGATAATTGCCGTTGTCGCTGTTTCTCGTGCAATTACTCGACTCTTGCTTCACGTTCGCACCTAATGCAAGCGAAACGATTACATGAACAACGCGATCCATGAATCTTCTCTCGCAGCGTACGATTCATTTTTTATCGCTACATCAATGCCACGTTCGAGGGAATGGCTTTTACGACTTGGCCTCCCTGCCGCATATTATTACTGTTTATCGAGTGCGCACGATCGTTTTCTTCGGACGATTCACGAGTGAAAGAACGGCGGGGCGTTAGGACATAACGGCGCGTGTCGTACCGGAAGTGAAGACGCATCGCTGCAACGACACGTGAGAGGGAAGGTGGGGTCTAATGGGGTGCCGACGATTTCGCGAGGGCGAGGGCTGCGCCCCTGATAAATCAAACAGACTCCCGGGTCGTGGGAAGCATAAGTCACAAGCCTCCGGCAATAATTGTATTTGTAAACATTGGAAGTTTACTGATAGGAAGAAGCGCGTCGGGATAGATTGAATTATCTTATCGTCCGCGAGAAGTCTCGTAATAATTATTTTCTACAGCGAGCTTCAACGGATGTGACGTGCAATTATTGTCAAGGCACACAGGGGATAGG